ATGTACAAAATAGCTTCATGAAATCTTTACTTAATATCCTAATGATTTTTGGCATAAAAAGAACATTGATAATTTTGACCCATAATGTATTTTTGGCTATTGCTACAAATATACCCCAGCGACTTAAAACTGGTTTTGTGCTCCAGGGTCACACACACACACACACACACACACACACACACACACATATAATTTATGTATGTATGTATGTATATGTGCATACATTTCAGGGATACACCACTCTCAACCACACTGAGTATTCAGATTATAATGTGGTCGATCATTAATCAATTAATTTCTTAAACTTTTACATTTTGTCCCCGTGATGTGGTTACATCCTTAATCTGGTGCGTATAGAATGGCGCTAAAATGTTCAAGATAAAGCAAAAAAACCTGTATGATATTTTGTAAAGAACTTTTGATGTGACAAAAAAAATCTTCTAACGCATAATCTGGGGGGTCTTGCTCATGCTTTCAGTGAATGACTGTAGACTGTTAAGTGTAGTGTGTCATGAATACCAATGATGTAAACTTTGTAATCAACATGACAGAGTGCTCGAACTTTGAGGACTCTCCCTGAAGACGGTCTCAGGTCTCAAGCCCCCCGCGCTCGCAGCTCATGCTAAAAAAAAGTTCGCAAGAAAATTCTTACTTGTTAAAACAGAGAAAAAATACACACGCATTCATTTAAAAATCATTCACGCCTTACTTCCTACGATATATATTACCTGTCGGACGCTAGAAAAACTTGTTTTAACTCAGAATCGAGCGCTCTCTTACGCGGAGGGCAAGAGATCTTTTAAACTTTGTTTGCGTATTGAAGTTTATAGATTTTAAAGGGGCAACGCATATTAATCAGATAGGAGTCCGAGCGAATAGAACACTTTTTTGTACCAAAGTCAGATTTCCTATCCAGTTCAAACGAACTAATAATAATAATAAAAATAAATAAATCTAAACCCAATACTTATAGCGCAGCAAATATTTATTGGTGTACGTTTGAACGATTTTTTTTTTTCAAATTAAAAAACAATAAACAAAAATCTAAAAGTGGACCCACTAAAAATGTACAGAGAATCTTAAAAATGTAACATGTTCCTCTTGAATATACGAGTATTTTTAACATAAAAGAGTGTTGCACTTAAAACCTGGTAAACTATACTGTGTATTGTAGGCTACTACACACACACACACACACACACACACACACACATATAATTTATGTATGTATGTATGTATATGTGCATACATTTCAGGGATACACCACTCTCAACCACACTGAGTATTCAGATTATAATGTGGTCGATCATTAATCAATTCATTTCTTAAACTTTTACATTTTGTCCCCGTGATGTGGTTACATCCTTAATCTGGTGCGTATAGAATGGCGCTAAAATGTTCAAGATAAAGCAAAAAAACCTGTATGATATTTTGTAAAGAACTTTTGATGTGACAAAAAAAATCTTCTAACGCATAATCTGGGGGGTCTTGCTCATGCTTTCAGTGAATGACTGTAGACTGTTAAGTGTAGTGTGTCATGAATACCAATGATGTAAACTTTGTAATCAACATGACAGAGTGCTCGAACTTTGAGGACTCTCCCTGAAGACGGTCTCAGGTCTCAAGCCCCCCGCGCTCGCAGCTCATGCTAAAAAAAAGTTCGCAAGAAAATTCTTGTTAAAACATAGAAAAAATACACACGCATTCATTTAAAAATCATTCACGCCTTACTTCCTACGATATATATTACCTGTCGGACGCTAGAAAAACTTGTTTTAACTCAGAATCGAGCGCTCTCTTACGCGGAGGGCAAGAGATCTTTTAAACTTTGTTTGCGTATTGAAGTTTATAGATTTTAAAGGGGCAACGCATATTAATCAGATAGGAGTCCGAGCGAATAGAACACTTTTTTGTACCAAAGTCAGATTTCCTATCCAGTTCAAACGAACTAATAATAATAATAAAAATAAATAAATCTAAACCCAATACTTATAGCGCAGCAAATATTTATTGGTGTACGTTTGAACGATTTTTTTTTTTTCAAATTAAAAAACAATAAACAAAAATCTAAAAGTGGACCCACTAAAAATGTACAGAGAATCTTAAAAATGTAACATGTTCCTCTTGAATATACGAGTATTTTTAACATAAAAGAGTGTTGCACTTAAAACCTGGTAAACTATACTGTGTATTGTAGGCTACTATATATTTGTATTTACATACTGTATAATGCTTGCATTGTAAAACCATTAAAATAGTAATTATTGATGTACATTATTTACTTAGTTATTTACTTAAGTAGTTATTTACTTTTTAAATGTATATGACATTCACATAATTTATAATAATGTGTGCAATACAATACAATATTTGGCAAAGCTTTAGTTACACTAAGATGTTTTGTGAGGCCACCTTCCTATAGATTATTAAATATTGCATTTTAACAGGTACTATGTTCACAGGTACTGGTAAATACACTTGCTTTTCTTCTGATTCCTAGCATAATACGCATTCATAAACTTTGAACCGGCTCGTATAGTTCAGTCTTGCCTGAGTTTTCGTTGCCCCTTTAAGACGACGGGTGCCTTGAAACCGTCGAGTTCCATGTTTGTATGTTGAAATTGAGAGCAGAGCCGAACTCCATGTTGTGAAAAGTTATCATCTAGGAACTTAACTTTTTATAATTATTTTTATTTAATTTTCTTTTTGTCGTCTAACGTATGAAAGCATAGAAATCACATTCAGCCTCGTACGGTGTCGCATTATGAATGTTCTTAAGCGGTAAAAGTCTTTAGGATTTTTGGGGGCATTTGCAGGGAGTTTCTTTCTTTCTTTTTTTCCAATTCAGCCGTAGCCAGCCGAAAGATTTTAATACGGAAACCCTTTTTAAGTTGCGATTTTACTGGCTGTACGGATCTCATGGACCACCCGTCCTCCTCGGTCATCACGCAAGTGAGCAGGGATGAAGAAGCCAGTGCTCCTTTACGGGACAGAGGTGAGTTGAGAGAAAGTTTGGAGTCGGCACATGTCAAACTGATGAATGTTTGGTGCGCGGCGGCCGCTTCATACAAAGTTTAATTCCGTCAAAATGCCGCATTGACTCGACTTTATGGAAAACTCAAGTGTTCAGTCACACATTTCCGCACATCAAAACACTACAAAAACATGTGATATCCACTTTCTGAGGGCTGGTGACAGTGGATGCATCTTGGGGATGAGGATCAAGTCCATTCATTATAATAACACAGTGCAGACCTATCACATACAGTTAGCTTCATTTGCATTCCATAAACTCGAGTTTAATTAGAAACTTTTTTTTTCCCCTATAAGTGAAGGCTTTGCTGTAGAGGGGGCGTGTCCATGATGACACTCTTCACTGACGTTTGAGGGAAGGCTGTTCGTGTTTACTCTGTAGTGTGTGCTGTAGTACATCTTCTCTATAACCTGTCATTTTATGCTTATGTGTGCATGTAGCTCATAATGAGTCCCTCCTCAGGTGACAAGATTGCATAGTATAGTCATTGTTTGGTAATGGCAGACTTCTAGCCTCCCTGGTCTTATCTCTGATTTACAGATTAAGTCTTTTTGCTATGGTGTCAGTGCAAGAATGCACAAGAATTGTTCTTTTTATTGTGGACACACCTGTTTATGCTTTATTGATGGTGTTTTTTGCATTTTGCAATAATCAAAGTCTATCAAAATTATGAAATGACAATATGGGAAGTGGTGGAATTATGTAATTCTAACTTCAAGCATTTAGGACTTTAGATGACAAGTTTTTAAGATCACTGCCTAAACTCTTGACTGGTAGGTCATAGGTCATAATGTGACAGTAAGCAAGATAGGCCATGGTTTGCAGGTCAAAGGTTAGATGAAAAGTGACTGTAATCAATGATTTGACTTTTCGGGAAAATATTATGGCTACGACAACTTTTTAGGGACACAAAGGTCTCTTGTAGCTATTTTATGATTATTATTATATATTATTTTTTAATTTTGAAGCTTTCAGATGTTCCAGAAAATGTTTTGACTAAACTGTACTGTACCCTGCAGTGTTGCTTATCTGCTGTCTGTGATTGTAATTTCTGTGATGTAAACAAAATATATTTTCATGTTTTCAACTCTTGGAAACATGACTTCCACATTGCTAATCATATTTTTTGCTCAGTGATGATATTTATATATAACAACACAAGCATGAAATATATTTATATATATTTATAAAATATTTTCTTAATTTATCTTAATATTTAAAAAAAAAAAAATGAAAGGCTTAGATTAGCACCTCATTTAAACTAGAATTGGGTATAATCTGTCATTATTAATCAGTTTATTTAAAATATAAATTTTGATTCCTTGTTATAATTCCTTGTGCTATAAATTTTTTATAAATAGTTAGTAGGTAGTTTTGGTCTTGGGTGTTATGCTAATATGCATGTTTAATACAGCTTAAATTTTTTTTCTTACAATTAGTTTTGTTTAATTGTATTTATTTATTTATTTTTCAGAGCAAAAAATAATGACTATACTACATTTTACCATGATTTACAGAAGACACCCACTAAAATGTCATTCACTCACACTGTAACAATACTTAAAGGGGTCATATGATGTCAAAGTAGTTTTGCTTTCACAACGAAACACAGCGTCACACACGGAGGCCTACAGTGAGCAGAGGCCGAGGGCTAGAGTGAGGAACGGCGGGAGGGCTAGAGTGAGCAGAGGCGGCGGGTTCGACGGAGCGTCCGGAGGGCTTGCGGCAACCACATGTGACGACCCCGGGCTGGACTCCGCTTCGTCCACGGTGAAAGCCGATCCGGCGATCCACAGCGCAAAGTTGTTGTATTTCCTCAGCAACCAGCACGGATCAGCTCCAGGCATGACGAAGCAGATATCGTCCTCTTTTGGAAGACCAAACAAAGTAGTTTCGCTTTCACAACGAAACACACAGCACCTTCACGACATGGCGGCGGCAACAACAATACTACAGCAAGAATAAAAGTTACGCCTTCTTTCTTTGCGTGAACATTTGGGCGGCGTTATGCAAATCTTCCCACATAGTGAGGTAGACATGTGGGGGCGTGTTAGAACGAGCCGTTTTAGGTAGGCGTGGCTGACTCTTAACTTTTATAAAGAATATCTCTTTGGATTTGAGACTTTAGTCTTTGCAACTTTACAGATCTTCTTTATGCACCAAGAGCTTGTAACACTCCAAAGAGAAAGGAAAAATTGAAATCGCATCATATGACCCCTTTAATATACAAAAAAATCTTATGAAGCATATTTAGAACAAGAGTCATTAGATGACATAAAAAGATTCTATAAGGATCACAGTGCCTCCCCCAAATACTAATGAATTGCCTTTTTAAATCTTTAACAATCTTTGGCACTATCTCGGAAAAAGGGTAAAAGGGTACCCATGTTTTACCCATTTATCATCAAGACATTTTTAATAATTTAAAATATAATAACATTTAGCATCACATTTTCCTTTATATATTTTAATAAGTAATGGTCAGAATAAGTATGTTTTTCTATGTAAATTATGTTATGCTAAATGATGATGGAACAGTATTTCATTTTATTTTCACAAAAGTGATTTAAAACATTAACATAGATACTTTGCAACACTAATGACGTAGTGCTGCTTTAGTTTTGCTTATATTTAACACCAACATTGTTACTTTAAGCTTTTGTAGAGGTTAGCAGGTTTTATGTTTTAAAAATATAAAGCTGATATGTTTCAGCAACGTTATGAATGCGTTTGAATGAACACAAGCATGCTTTCTAATTGATGACGACTACAGTGAGAGCCGGCTAAAGCCATACCAGTCAGACTCAGCCTCACTGCTTGTTTTTCCGACCGCTGTGTTTTTCACCAGCGCTCCTTTTTCCACTCTTGCGCACACAGAGATGGAGATAGTTTACAGGCCTGTGTTTTTGTTAGAGATTTGATGAAAACCACTCCCTGTATAGGTTCAGTACAGTGCACAGATCCTTTCCGTCTGTCTTAGCATTTCATTTTTATATATTAGTTAAAAAAATCTCCTGTTGAAGAAGGTAATACATTGGAATATTTAGGAAGGTGTATTATAGTTAAAAAAGGGGCAATGTCTCTGTGATATGCCTAGAGAATGTTGCAGAACTAGGTAGTTACATCTCCGATTGCCCCATGAGTGTAAAGCGAAACAGATTGTTTTGTAAGGCGAAGTATGACGTGGTTGAAAAAGAATCAAGAGCATGTACTGCCTTTATAGCCATGTGTGATATTAAGTTTCATAGTCACTCTTTAAACTTTATACATCTCGCACAAAACCAGTGATTTTTCCCAGCAGTGTTTTCAGCAGTGTTGGACTAAAAGCAACAAACTGTCTGGAAGTTTTTAATAAGAATTGGCAAGTTTAACCTTATGCAAATGAGCAGCAATGTGTGGAGATTCTCAAAGACTGTGAAGACACTGATCGCTATCTTATGAGATATTATATTTGAATGTAGTCAAGATCAAGAAGTCATTTTGACTGAGTAAATGCACAAGGATGGATATGGAAAAATACTGTGGCATAAAGAACCATGTGAGAAAATGTCTGCATGCAGATTTCACTGAGTATGATTTGTGTATTCATAATCTTTTTTTTTTTTTTTTTTGCACTGCTGCAATTTATGTGCAAAAATGTAACGCTTTAATAATTTAATGTTTTATTCATAATTGTAATTAATATCTGTAACTAATAATTGTCTGCAATTTGATTTGTGTATTTATAAGCATTTTTTTAATTCTTCACTGCTGCAGTTAATATACAAATACTTTCCCTTGTGCAATGTTTTAATAATGTCAAGTTTTATTAATAATTGTAATAATATTACATTAAAATAAAATATAAATTATATATGCATTTAAATAATAATTTTAGAAGCTTTCAAAAGTATTAAAATATATATATATATATTTTTAAACCGGCTGTTACTATCATTTGTGATCAGATTCATGGTTGATGTGTGAGTTTTGCCTGGGTTTTGGCTAGGCTTGCATGGGTCCCTTTTTTGGCCTGTCTGTCAAAAGTGCTGTCTCATGAATCGTGGAAAGACTGAGTAGCTTGAGGTGTATATGAGTCAAATGATGCTTCTGTGGTCTTCGAGGCGAGGACTGTTCGTGAGATCTTTTTATACTGTCATTTGTAAACATGATTAGAACTGCATGTTTGTTCTGAAAGGGCGTTATGCAAGTTAGACCACATCAAAGTAACTCCGTTAGTGCTCTGGCACATACTGTAAACGTGATAGCGCCTACCATTACATGTTTGAGTCCAGCAGTGTGGTTCAGTTCTTCATGTGTGCTTGTTTCAACATGCCTTGATGCTTACGAGGAATCCTTGGATTTTCTCGTCTTCAGTGTCTATGCTCTCAATTTAGCAGATAACATTACTGCATTCAGGTCGTGTCGTAATGGTTGTGTTTACAATTTTAGCACTCATGAACGCCACTACAAAGTCATAATTACCAAATTGCGTTGGAAGCACTGGATTTTTTTTCGGCACACCTCAAACTCACAAGTCAGCCTTGAAGTATCATGGCGGAAGCAAATTGGTGTTATTTATAGTATGTTGTAATGGTGTATGTTGTTAGAATTCTAGTGCTGTAAAATGATTAATCGTGATTAATCACATCCACAATAAAAGTTTGTGTTTACAAAATGTGTGTGTATTGTGTACTGTGTATATTTATGTGTGATGGTCTGGGGCTGTTTTGCTGCTTCAGGACCTGGAAGACTTGCTGTGATAAATGGAACCATGAATTCTGCTGTTTACCAAAAAATCCTGAAGGAGAATGTCCGGCCATCTGTTCGTGACCTCAAGCTGAAGCGAACTTGGGTTCTGCAGCAGGACAATGATCCAAAACACACCAGCAAGTCCACCTCTGAATGGCTGAAGAAAAACAAAATGAAGACTTTGGAGTGGCCTAGTCAAAGTCCTGACCTGAATCCTATTGAGATGCTGT